ATAAGCAGGGGGTTCACTTATCGTCCTGATGATGGAAGCGGTAAATACCTATGAAATGACTATCACTTTTTTCCAGTCTACACGGCGCAACATAGCTTCACTTTAACCAGCTGTAAGTATGAGGTCGCACTTAGGTTTGAGCAAAAATGAAGGAACGTTAAGTTGATGTTTATGAATACCATTATGAAAATACTGGCTCAGAGTCTCCGGCAGACGTTAGAACAGGAAGGTCTTGTGTACTCGCTGCAGGGGTCCTTTGACCCAACCCCTCTGTGACCATCGTAATCAGCATGTCAGTATGAGATAGGTAGAACATAAATTTAAAAACTGAGAACGAAGCTCCTATTCATTGACTGAGTACTCGTGGTTGGAGCGAGGTTTCCTTTAGATTTGTGGTCGAAATTGGAGGCAATTTTTCACTTCACCGCCTAGTTTCCACATAACATTGTTTATACAATTACCTAGGCTTTAGGATGTTCTGTAACCGAATAGCCTTGTTATAAGACTCTGTAAAGAACCATGTAATTGTGAGTTCTTATATTAAAATTTCAAGCTTGTAAAGGGTTGGGCCTCTGTCTGACTTTCGGTTACGCCTATTTCATGTATTATTTCAGATGAATTATTGATTCTGTGAGGTGACGATGTTACTTCCCTTGGCCTTTCATGTCATTACATGGAATAACTAATCCATTGTTTGAAGTGAAGTATCATACGGAGATCGTCTCATAATATACAAAATAATACGTGATATAACGTCCCTCTTCGAGTGTTCACGTAATAATTTTATAAGACTTTTATCTTTCCTACGAACGCAAAAAAACCGAGAGTAAAAGTTTATATTAGAAATTTATCATCTGCGTGTTTGTGAACAAAGTACTGTCAAAAGAATTGGGATTTGTGATACGTTTTTGTGATGTAACAAGAAATGGAGGATATTACATGACGAGAAGCTTCACATTACTTTCTAGTCATTATTTACGATAAAATAAACCACTAAGTACAAGATGGGCTAGACATGTAGCACATATGCGAAATAATAAATATTTACACATTCGTAACAGGCATAATTTAATTTTTCGCTTATCCCACGAACGTCGCATCTGTAGAATCAACCATGACGGACATTGGCTATTATATTATTAGTAAATGGTTGTATTCGGGAATGTTGGTATCGGTACCAGAACAGGTGAAAAGTGCGGGTATGAGAAATAAAAAAAAAACGCAACAATCCTTGCGATCAGCCTATAATAATTTGTGCCCGAATATCTGTCACGTGACGTATTGGTTTTTTTTTTATTCAGTCTTCCATTACCGTAACCATGGCTGCTGGAGTGCGAACATCGGCAGCAAAATGTCATGATGTTTTTTTCCCCTCGCTACAGACGGACGTGGTGTTCACGGCATGCCAGTAAACTGATTAAACGATTATCGACACAATTTTGGAAACAATGCGCTTGTTAGTCTTTTAAAGTAAATCTTTAATGCGAGTAGCGATATGAGGCTACGCGGAAGCTAGGGATTTCGTATTATTTATTTTAGTTCCCGCTGTTTTAAAACTGTTCCGAATGAAAACATTTAAATGTATTTTTGGCAATACTAACGCATTCGAAGCAGGAAAAAGCTCGCGGTTTTTGAAATGTTACTCTTGTGAATGCAATTAAAACTGTATCCTCACTACGCTTTACATTTAGACGTCATGTGGGGTGCCTACATACTGCCTCAGATCAAATTTTAGAATCCTATTAAAGATCTACACGTATCTATTCGCCCGGTTCTGTTATTACAAACATCAATATTATGAAAACAAATTGAACGATTTTAATTAGTCTATCATAGAACGTCACTATTTTTTAAAAGTTACTATTTTTTTATTAAACTCTCCAGTAATAAAGAATACACAATCAAAAAACCGGGATTCTGTGTTTCAGAATTGAAAAAGAGTTACATTACCTCCTATAAAATATATTTCAGGGACATTTTATTACTCCCGGTGAAAATTACGTCGGTAAGTATTAATAATCCTCTCTCAAGACCTACAGACAGTTCTCTTTATCAAGAGCATTAAACTTGTATCATTTAATTTCCGTTTTCTACCTATCGAATATGTTACATATACGTGCTTCAGGCACCTACTTCATGGTACTACACATCTGAAGCAGGCAGAATGATGTAATGCATGAGAACGCTTCCAAATTGCTGCTTGAGAAGAGGTTAGACATGTTATGTGACTTGGGGGGGGGGGAGAGAG